GACAGCAACACATTTACCACAAATTGGTTTCTGGCATCCCTCACAGCTGACAACAGTCTTGTTTTGTCCCTTGCAACTTTGAAATGCACATTTTTTTCGTTTAAGTGTCTGTATTTGAGCAATCGGGGGGCATCTGTTGCGTAGTGCACCAACTCGTAGTTCTTCCACGAGTGCAAGAATAAATTCTCGACGGGAAATAGAGGTGCCCAAGGATTCTTTGAATATAATCCAAGCATTGAGTGCAGCAATGTCAAGTACGTTGTAAAAAACATGTACAGGCCACCTGCGACTTTCACTACTTGTACTATATTTTTTCAGCATCTGATTTGCGACATCAACGCCACATTTTGTACTGTTGTAGTAAGTGACAGTGTTCGGTTTTTTCTTTATGCTGTCGTCAACAAACACATTACTGTGCATCGTGCTCAGAATCACGACATTCTTTTTGCTCTTGCACCTATATATTGTGAGTGTTTTGTCTCCATTTTTCAGTGCAAAAGATGAATATCGTGCCGAAGAAGTGTCACGAGCAATAGGGGGGTAATTCTCGCTTATTCAGACGCATCGTCCCGACAATTGTGGTTTTTTTTTTTCGCAGAAAGTTCATCTGCAAGTTTCACAGAAGTAAAAAAATTGTCAGTTGTGACATTGAGTCCGGAGTTTAGATGTGGTTGCAGTAATTTGAGAACTACACTTTCCCCAAGTTGTAAATTAGTTGGTCGTTCTTCATCCTTGCCCAGATAAGGATAACCATTCAAAACATATTTGGATTTTACATCAGTTGCTAGCCAGAATTTGATGCCAAACTTGTCCGGTTTATTCGCCATGTACTGGATAAATCTACATCTTGATTTACAAGGCAACAATTGTTCATCAACGGTTATTTCTGGTCCAGGATTATAGCATAAATAACAGTTTTCCATTAGCTTGTACCAGGTTTCAGAAGCGAGAGCAAATTTGTTAGTGGCGAGACGATCAGCTCTGGTGCTTCGGACATCGAATCTGAGATACCGCATTATTTCACGGAACCGATTGCGTGACATTGTTTCTTTGAACACAGGTGGTCCCCAATTCTTGTTCCACAAATCATCTGCACAAAGTTTTGAATGGTGCTCCACGGGCATACAGGAAAGCAAAAAAAAGCATCAAGTTCTTCCAGAGTAACATACCAGTTACTATCATCTCTAATTTGGAGTCGTGCCTCAGCAACTGTACATGATTGAATGTGTTTCGCCATTGATTTCACTCACCATCAAACACCACTCTGAAGCAGGGTTTGTTCCTATATTACGACGAGCAAACGACGTTGGTCCACTTGCAGTGGTTACAATATTTCGAGCTGGCGTGCGACCTGAAGTGGAAGCGGTGCTGCTAAAGTTCATAGGGGTCCAGAGAATACCGCTGGATGAGGTATACTTCTCATTACTGCTGCCAGCAACGTTGTTGCCTCGTCCTTGACCACGACTACGTCCGCGTCCACGTGAGCTTCCGGCTTCCCGCATAGGGATCACATTTCCAGAATTGTCCTCGACATCACTATCACTGCTTTCAGAGAGCGACGCATTCTGTAAGTTCACATCAACGTTAAAATCTTCATCACTGCTATCATCACCACTTATATCTGATTCCAACTGTTCAAGGAGGGCAAGGCACTCTTGTGTACTCAATCCTCTTCCTCTCGGCATTGCAATGGAGAGAGAATATGCTCCGTTCTGGATTTTATTTTTCTCCCCTGAGTCATCGCGATAAGAGCTGCGTGTTTCCCAATGCGCAGAAAACGAAAACGTGGCATCGGGAATTCGAAAACGGACATTCGCTTAAAAATATGTCGTTTTTCTTATGAGGGTCAAAATGACCCCAGTTGGCTGTTTTAGGTATATCTGCGATTATTTATTTAAATAATTAACGTAGAAATATGAAAAATTGGCATAGTATACTTGGAAACATTTTAGAAAAAGTAAAAAAATATCAGCTTCGAAGCTCAGCTGTATGTTAAAAAAAAACGCGGAAAATTGGAAAAAAAAGGTCAAATGACCCCCAACGGCGCTTCTAGTGTTAATTTTCATACAATTTTCACTAAATTAAATTAGGATTTTTTAATTTTTAGCTGCTTAATTTTTATAGTCACATAATATCGGATGTTATTTTTTTTACTTTCCATTTAGATATTAGTATACTACAGTGTAATATAGAAGCATCAGTATACTGAAACATTTTATATAAAAGGGTGCTTTTATAAGAATTTATACTTAAATCTAAATTTTCATGGGAGATTGCTGAGTTTTTTAGTTTAAATATTAAATTAGCATGTATATCTAGTCCTTGAAAGCCAGTGGTTTTGTCAGTCCATAGTTTGAGGTAACATGTGCGTTAGGTATATGCATTAGAGTTAGTTACCCTAGTCTATTTCCTAGGTCTCTTTTTAATAAATACACTTGAAAATCTTTTTGAGCTACGTGATTTTAAAATAAAAAATTCTGCGCATAAATTATGTAACTTACAAGATTAAAAATAACTTCAAATTTATTTTTTGAATACTTAAAATGTATACAGATAGTACTTTTTATCATTTATTTTTATAAAATGAAGAAAAATGCATTATGAAAATTGTTAGTTTCACATCTAGTACTGCAGTGAACTCAGTTGCACAAATCTATATATTTTTCTTTTTGACATTTATATTATAATATACAAAATGTGTTAATTTGCAGTTTATATGATCAATAGGATAATAGTCAGTTGCTAAAAATTAAAAGTTGCATAAAATTATATATTTTGAACTGCACAAAACATTGGAATCATTATTCTTACATGATTTAAGGGCCAACTGCATTTACAGTGCTCTGAATATTTGACTATTACGATTTTCAGAAACCAACTATTTATATTTACTGTTGTGCTTTTTAAGCTAATAAAATTATGACTTAAAAATATTTATAGTAACTTTTTTTCAGTGCAGTGTAGAAGAGCAATCTGTGTAAACATGATTTTATGTATTCATTTTTACATGATTTTATGTATTCATTTTTACATGTTTTATAAATGAATTAACTATCAGATCAAGGAAAGAATTCATAAATAAATATTAACAATCAAAACATGGTAAAGCAGTGAACAAAAGAGTATTATGAAGATAACATATAAGAGTTACAAAAAATGATACTAATCAAATAAATGAAGTTAATTAATGGATGAAATAATAATTAAAGATGAAATGCAAATTTCATAATTTTATTAAAAATAAACAAAGTTTCCGAATTTTCAACACATCAACCACAATGCAAACTTGTTTGTTTACATTAGCAGTTCTTACATCACGTGACCTAAGACATCATCGGAATGTATCTCATTCAAATTAGAGTTTCTATGCTAAAACAAGCTATTCAGCCAACAAGCAAAAAGAGCAAGCATAGGTATTTTTCAGTGCACAAAACTGAAAGTTTTAAATATTTTTGCATGACATCTGTATGTATCGACATAATAAAGGGCTTTTTTCCCCAAAACGGATTATAAAATGGATTCAGAAGAGATTTTTTTTCGTGATGCCTGTATCAACGTATGTACTCGTATCTTTCATGACTCAAAAATGAGTAGCCTCAGAAAATTTAAACATTGTACATGGGACTGCTATAACATGTAGTTGAGCACCTTTCTTTTTGGTTGCAATTATTTATATATATACATACACTCACTCTGCTACCCAACTCGGTGAGCTCAGTTTTTTTTATTTTGAAAGTTTACTTTTAGTCCCACTTCGGCAAAAAGACACTGAAGGTGCAAAAACCGACTTAATTCACTATTCTACTAAAGAGTTTCAAATGTAAACAAATGGTGGATATGCTAGGCTTAGTAGTGCTTAAACATCTTTTAAATTGTTGATAATTCTACAACTATAGCATGCAGATTAACTAAAGGCATAAAAACCTTAACCAGAACATACGAACAACATAATTCAATCACATTTAAAGCAAAAAAATGCATAAATTACCAACGTATAGGAATAAAAAAAACTGAGCTCACCGAGTTGGGTAGCAGAGTGAGTGTATATATATATATAAATAATTGCAACCAAAAAGAAAGGTGCTCAACTACATGTTATAGCAGTCCCATGTACAATGTTTAAATTTTCTGAGGCTACTCATTTTTGAGTCATGAAAGATACGAGTACATACGTTGATACAGGCATCACGGAAAAAAATCTCTTCTGAATCCATTTTGGGGAAAAAAGCCCTTTATTATGTCGATACATACAGATGTCATGCAAAAATATCTCTCAAATGGATTCAAGAGTGGTCAAAATAAATATTTTCGCTGAAATGTGATACCCAAAATTTTTCACCATGACAATACTTCCTTTACTTTATACACGGAAGTAAAAATGTCAGTGAATAAATGCATTGTGTTCAGAATCAAAGATAAGGATTGGATTATTTGGGTTGCAGCAGGAAGGCTGCCCATCTAAAGGGAAGATATGCTTGTGAGCAGATGAAGGCTATTAATTTATCACTTCAGCTTCTGATAAGCTTTCGACAAAGACTATTTCCTTTTTCCAGTTTTCGATGCACTTCGGAACTGGTACAAAAATACTCAATAAAATGCGTGGTACTAAATTTCAAAATTTGCTTATTCCCCCCCCCCTCCACACACACATACACAAGGGAACTTTTAAATTTATTGGCTTAAATCTATTTTAATGTTGTGGGTATGTTTCTTTTTATTTTATTGATTATAATGTTAGTTGTTTATGTAAAAAACATTTCATCATGGACTTTTTAGTGTGCGTAATTGAAATACAAATTTTTAAATTAGCATGTCATTTAAATTTTGTCAATGATCAATTGGTTTATTCATCTCAAAGATAAAATTCAAAGTGTTTCCTATTGTTACTAAAGCAGTCAAGTATGACCTTTAAATTTATAGCACTTTAATGTCTTGATTCATATGAATGTGAGAAAAGTCCAATTTTCTTTAACTTAAATGTAAAATGTTTCATGTTTTAGATACACATTCAACCAGTGGAGAGCAAGTTGGGTATCTTTGGTCGGTGACATGACGATGGAGCTCTGCTGCAAATAGGTATTTTGCTGCAGAAGCTTACTTTAACGTGTTCCTTGTTATGGTGCCTTATTCCAAAGTGGAAACAGAGATCACAAAACAAAGTATGAGATATGGATTACAATATAGAATATTAAGACTGATATTTTTGGAAGCAAAAGCAACAAAACAAATTTTATTTTGATTAAGGAAGATTTGATAAAATTCAGTTTTGAGTTCATAAATTCTTAAACCAAAGTTTAACAGATTTAACTTGCAGAAGATCCAAAATGATATATGTACTAGCTGCTGTTCTGTATTTAAACATGATATATTGATTTTGCATAATGGAAAGACTATGCTTGTGCACTTTACTCTGTAATATAAGTTTGTAACTAAATTGGTGTTATAGGAAATATAACACTTTATAAAATTTATCATTTTATAGTAAAATATAATGGTTACTGAATGAAGAAAAGTTTAATTTTAAATTTATAATTTTAATGCAGCACTATCATGAGTTGAATTTGCATTATATTTTTGACTGCTAGGATATACTCTTTTTCCTGGGTATGTTACAGATGCTTGTTTAAGCAGCTATATTTTCTGTAAGATATCTCATTGAGCAAAAAATTATACTGACCTCTGTAGTGATACCGATTGTGGAAGTGTTTGATTAATTTGAAAACTTCCAAATAAAAACATATTATCTACTTTATTTTGCAAAATATCATTATGTTACATGTTTGTAAAGTAAAACATAAATACTTGCTTCTTTGTGTTTTAGAAATAATTTTGATTTTTATCCAAATTTATAAAATTTAGAATGGTATTAGATTTTCATAATTTTTACAGACTATTGAAATTGATTCATGGAAGAAATTCTAAGTAGTTTAAATGTAATAGAAGATTTCTAATATAACAGAAGTTTTCAGTTTTGTTTGTTTTCAGTTTCAGCTTCAAAGTTTATATAACGTTCTAGCATTATCAATAAGAGGCAGTCATAATCATTGAGCGGTTTTATGTACAAGATTGCATTTTCTTCCATAATTTTAAAAGTGTGTAATTTTTGTTACCATAAATAGCTTTTAACGTGTACATGAACAGAATAAATTTATGTAGTCAAATACATATACATAGGCATGCATATATTTTGGAAACTGTGAAGATGTGAATTACATAAGTGGAAACTCTCAGTCTTTTTGTAGTAAATTAGTCCTATCTAGGAAACACTGCATTCAAAACTGGTATTATGGCAGCTGAAATATTATTTTATTATAAAAAAGTTATAGTATTCTTAGTAATGTAATTCTGTTCAGCTTCCTTTTCCCCCCCCCCCCAGAATTTTGACCAAGAGTAGCTTTTTCAGTTATACAAATTAACGAATATCTAAATGTTAGAAACTTTCTACTCTTTTAAAATGTAATAATGTGCAACTTGAATTTTATAACATTTCTGTGCCTGAAATTTTCTTTGCTTAAATGCAATTTTAATATTTTTAAATTCGAATGATATTAAAATTATTAATCTGAAATGTTTCAGTTGAAAATTGTTCAAGTAAGTAAGGAACAATTTGTTGAATATTAAAATATAAATTTTTGGATTATTATTGCTATTGCATTTTTCAGCAGCTAGTAGATGTAATGAAATCTTAGTTTAAAATTTTAAAGCATAAAATTTCATTAGGAAAAAAAAAGATTCTTTTATGGGGGTTTCAGTCAAATAATTTCTCAAAACTTGAAATATGTTGAAATATTGTAATTGATTATTATTTTTTAAATATACAATAGAAGTGGGTGTGTTACAGTTGGTTTAGTATGTAAAAAATCAAATCTTGAGCATATTTTCATATAGATAGATGTATCTATCTTTTGTACACTTCAACCTAGTCAGTTATGAACAAGTGTATTCTCCAGTATAAACAGTTCAAGCTGTTGAAATGTTTTGTGGTATATAATACCTAAAATATTAAACACATAAATTGCTTTGATGTATTTTGTATGGACATAGATTTATTCCTACTGTCTTACCATTTCAAGTAACATATAAAGTTCTCTGCATAACATGCTTATAATATACTCACATTTATTTAATTGACTTTGAAAAAAGTAAAGAAATAACAATTCATAATTTTTGCTCTTCCAGATCATCTCAGAATGTAAGTTTGTATTCCCAACAAACTCTTTGAATATGCTTTAATATTCCAGTGCATCTAAAAAGGGGTTTTTTAATTAAATATTCATTTACCAAGTTCCTTTTTAAAACCTTTAAATGTGCTTACATAAAAGTATTTGAATTTATATGTTTTAGTACTCATGTACTTATATATATAAATATACGGGACTGACTGATTGATACTAATGTGATCTCCAGATAGTACTCTTGTTTTATGATGCTACATAATTTCTTGTAGGAATGTTTCTTAAGGTAAAATAAGATTGTTTTGAACAAGTCATAATGCTAATTTCAGATTATTACAGATATGCTTTACTCATAAAATTTTAGTATCAAATGAGTATAAACATTTTGTTTCAAATAGAATTTCCACATTTAATTAATTCTGTATACCAAATTATCAGTTAATTCAAGCACCTGTTATGTAATCTCTACTCCTTATAAAGGAACTTTAATCAATACATTTTGAGTACAGGTTGAAATATTTGTTTCAAATTTTGGCATTCATTTTTGTAATTATTATATGGCTGTTAAGGTAGTGATTCATGTTTAATTTTTCTTTAAAACTTACTAAGTATTAAACTTTTATTTTTTTATGATTTGAAACGAATTTTCTCTTAAACAGTCATTGTATTTGATTCAGTCTTTATGCATAAGTATGTGTGCTTTTGTGAAATTTCCTGTGTTTAGACAAAAGGTTGTAAATTGATTCAAATGTAAATTTTGCACTTATGGTTGAAATTACGCAAACTGTCAAAATATGATTATCTGCATAAGGGGGGAAATTAATATGTGATCAATGAATATACTTTTATAGTCATTGTAATATCATAGTATTAATCTAGAAAAATACACTATTTGTAGTTTTTCATATCATTTTTTGACTATGTTTGTGTATGTTTGTGGTTTTTGGCATTTATCAGTACTTCCTTGTTATTGTATACATTGTTATGCTTTGTATTAGAAGGCATTTATTTTTGATTGTATCATTTTTTAATATAATTTTGATTTGTGCTGTGATTCTAAAGTTTCTGGGAAAGCAAGACATTTGGTTTCCATTCATATAGCAAAGTGAGTTGTATGTGTGAATATGGATTAATTCTCTGTAATAATATATATGTATTAAACCTATGTATATAATACAAAAAAATTTCTAAAGTGCCAAACAAAGTATGTATATATGGATTTGTTAATGAAACTGTTGACCTATATTTTAAAAAGTTTTCATGAATGTTATCATATGCCACAGATGTGCTGTCATTTAAATGAATAGTTCAAATGTCTAACTAATCTCCAGTAATTTTTAACAATAAAATACATGTATTCTGTGATTTTTTTATGAATAATAAAACTGAAATTTTATTAATTTTGTTCAATTTTTAATTGAGAAAGGATTTTATTGTAAATTTTATAATTAAATGAAAGGCATATTGACTATATTCGTCGTGATTGAGTGCATTTACCCTCAAAATTCTGTTATTTACAGACTCGTGTACTAAGGTAATCTGACTATTCAAGATATGTATTTATATAGTTTTAAATTGCAATTGTTGTAATAACCAAGGCAAATCTTTTTAATATTGAAATTTATTTGTAAAAGTCAATGTGTACTAGCCTCATTAGTGTATTTATGTGATAGAAAGGTATCTGTTCTTCAGCGTATGAGATTATCATCATTTATTTTATTAGGAAAGCATTATGGAAAATGGGGCTGAGTGGGAGAAATGGTCTGGCATATTTCTTACAAGCAGTACTGAGTTTCAAGGACTTGGATATTATTTATCATCCTTCATTGCTTAAGAGGTTAATTTCTTATTTTCTGGTATATGTGCACGGGGTATTACGGTAGTTTGCTCAAAATCTTAAAAGAGGGAAGAGAACAATTTTTTTAGACATTAATACTGAAGACAAAAATCACGATGATTGTGTAGCACAAAAGACAACTTTCTTCTTTTTTTTTTTCTTCCCTTCTAATGCAGCTGAAAGATGCTGGGGAGTAAATGTATCTTAAACTTGATCTAATGCACCTGTTGTGTTCAGAGTCATCCAACCAGTATCCATATTAGACAACTAATGGTGAAAATATAATGGGGATTTTTTCTAGAACAGAAAAATCCAGTATTAAACTGTGTTGTTTTATGTGTCAAGGTACTTTAAACCAGGTTTAAGTTATATGTGTTCTTAGTGTCTTAAAAACAGTAATACTATTATAATTCAAAATATCTTCTGTCATCTGGAATTGAACATTAAAGTGAGAATTAAAAATGAGCAATAGTAGAAGTTTAAACAGTTTGTACAATTGTTTTATGTGAAATCATATTACAATACAAAGTCTGAAATTCGAACATCCGATATCTAGACCTCTGGAATACCAGCTAAAATAGGAAATAATACAAAAAAGTCCTCCTTCTGCATACAAAGGCTGGGAATGGTTAATAAATTACTCAAGAAAAGGAAGCATGTGTGTTGTAAATAGGATTTTCTCCCTACTAACTGAGATACCTGCATGTCACTTTCAGACACCTGCTGGCTAGGGAGTTCTGTAGTGGCTAGTGACAACACATTGATTGATGTTGGCCAGAATCACACTTTTGCATTTTTTATCCTAAACAATAAGTGAAGCCTTAATGTTGCCATGCTTACGTGTTATCTTACTAGTTTAAACTGATGATCTAAAAGTTCTGACAGTTCTGGATCTCAGACTTTAGAGTGTATAATGAAGCTCTATAAATAATTATTATTTATGATACTTCCTTATCTTACCAACAAAATTGTTTTTCTCTTGTACATAGATGTAACTAAATTGTTTACTAATCAAAAATAAAAAGAAAAATAGTAACAATTTTTATTATGCTATTTATTGCAGACTTGTGTTTACTGTTTTAAAAAAAAAGTTAAATGCCTGTTTCAAAATTAGTAAATATGTTGTTGTTTAAATAGATCAGAAACTGAAAGCTCAAAACCAGCTTTTCCCTTTTTCCTAATAATTTATAAAATACTTTCCTAATTTCAAACCTAATCAGTGTATGAGTAAATAAAGCCTGAATTGTTTTTATTTTGCTAATACAATAAACCCTTGCCAAACATAGGAGTTACATCACTAACACATTGCATATACAATAAAATCACGACCTGCGAATTTTAACTTTGTATGGAAAGAATGGGTTAGATATAGTTTAATATCAAGAAAGTATATATAATGTATGAAAAAATAAAATATTGTAATTAAAAGGTGAAAAGGAAATGTTAACTGAAAGGCTTTTTATTACTTCTTAATAAGTAGGTACATAATACAGTTTTTTTTTTATATTAGTGGCAATTTTTGGTTTAGACAATGTCTGATCTCATTAAACATTTACTGCCATAAAATGTCCTTTTCCTTCATTTGGGTCAATGGCCATAACAAAATTGGAGAGTTCCTGTGCCTTTTTTAACAATTTGTTTTTCATTTCATGTACATTAAAGACACTTTATCTTCTTCATTATCGCCACTTTCACCATGACTGATATTGAAAGATGATAGAATTCTTCATTTCTTATTTCATGATTGTCATTCTCAGCTACTACTTTGATTTCTCCTTCTATATTTGAAAATACTTCGCCGCCTATTGCTTTTGCAATTTGTAAGATTTCCTTGACTTCATTTTTAGTCAATGAAATGCGTTTAAAATTATTGACAACTTATGGCCTGCGCTGATGTCAGCAAACATTCATTGTTGATGAGTTCCTATGCAATTTTATTCATGCCTATGCAGTATCCAGTGTTGAATTTCTTCTAGAATGTCATTAAGTGTTGTACTCATGTAGTGCTTTATTTGCAGAGATATAAATATGGCTGATATAATAGATTTGGAGTGTTTTTATGATTCCTTGATGCATTTATTGGATTTATGATTGGAAAAAATAATTGGTCCAGTAAACCGAATTGTGCAAATAGGCCTTAATGTTTCATAAATATATATAGGAGAAAGAAAGTTCCTGGCATGAAAGGTATGAATCTTTTCCTATATCAAATTAAACTATGTATTTTGTAGTTAAAGTGTTGGTATGAAGACTTGATGGAAAATGCTGCTTATCATCCAGCAAAATCTTTTCTAATATTATATTTCAGAGTTTTAAACATGCAGATATCACAAATTTTGTCGTAAAATTTTTAATACCGGGCATATTTTCACAAACCAGAGTAAGACAAAAATATCTGTAATTCATAAGCTCTTAATTCAGTTTGTACTAGGATGCATAATCATATATAAATTATTCTTTTAAATATGTACCAAAATTTAAAATATGCTTATGAAGTTCATGACCTTAAAATCTAATTGCTATGATTAGGTTTCAATAGGATTAAATTACTTAAAACACGTAAATCACATAAATGTTATCCATTGATTAATGTCTGTGTGTGAAGTACTTTTTACTAATACTATTATTACTTATTTTCGTTACTTGATTTTATTGTCAGTGAACAACATTATGAAGCTATCTTTAAGGAAGTGCTTTTAAAAGGCATTCCTAAAGAAAGAAGATAGTGGTGTATGTCTCTTGATATGCATTCAAAGTTAAAGTACAAAGTCCGTAATCCAGACGTCTATTATCCAGAATGATCTATCCAGGTAATCTGGATCTCAAAGCCACAAACTTTTTTTTTGTATGCTTTATGCATGCGCATTTAATGTATAACAGACGGTATAAGCTAGGCTAAAATTATCTTTACTAATTCTAATGCATTTCGGTTAATGTTGCAGATTGCGCTGTTCCTTAATCTTCTAATTGCATCTGGCTTATTATTTTTTGCAGACTGTTAGAGCAATTTTATAAAAATTAAGCTTGAACTTTCGATTATGTCAAAAAGGCGTTTAAAATTTTGGAGCTGCCAAAGGATCTACAAAGCAAAAGCATGTTTCAATGCCCATCAAACAAAAAGTGGAGTTGCTGTAAAAAATGAAAAATGGATCCTTCTCAAAATTATGCGAGGAGTATGACATTGGAAAGTCAAGTGTATATGACATAAGCAAAAAGAAAAAGGAACTTTTTGAATTTTTTGTGGATTCTGACACCCCACTTGCAATGAATAACAGGAAAAGGTTTCGTTATGCTAAAAGTGACGATCATGACAAAGTGATGATTGAATGGGTCAGACAGCATCGCAGCGAGCGCGTGCCATTGACGGGTTTAATGCTAATGGCTCAAGCCAAAATATTTCATGAAGAAATGAACTTAAACACTGAGTGCACATATTCGACAGGCTGGTTAATCAAATTTAAAAATCGCCATGGTATAAGAAAATTAAAAATTTCAGATGAAAACGCTTCAGCTAATACTGAAGCTGCTGAACAATTTGCAGATGAATTCATTGAACTCATTACTAGTGAACAATTATCTCCAAATTTACAATGCTGATGAAATTGGTCTTTTATGGCAATATGTGTTGCGAAATACCTTGGCAACCTCTACAGAAAAGGCTCCAACTGGTGTCAAAGATTCCAAAACAAGGCTAACAATTTTAGCGTGTGCAAATGCTGAAGGAACGCACAAGTGCAAACTTTTTGTAATCGGAAAACATGCATGACCTCGAGCATTTAAAGGAGTAACGATTTTTCCCTGTTATATATCGCGCAAATAAAAGAGCATGGGTGACACAAGCGTTGATGAATGATTGGTTTGAAAATCATTTTATACCTGAGGCTTGGTTACATTTGAATTCGGTTGGTTTACCTGATGACTCAAATATAGTCTTAATTGTTTACAGTTGTTCGGCACATACTTCACTTAAAAGTTTTAGTGAAAGATAATGTATCTGTATTATTCTTCTCTCCAAATTGTATGTCTATTCTTCAGTCTATGAATATGGGAATAGTGCATGTGCTGAAATGCAAATATAAAGTAGTATTTTTAAAAATCTATGTTAAATTTCTTGAATAATGGCAAGACTATTTAGCATAAAATCTGCTGTGTGGAGCAACACAAGATGGTGAGAGGATGTGTCTCCAGATATGTTAAAAAATGCTTGGCATAATTTATGGCCAGCTACCATATTTCATGGTGAGAACGATGAAGATGATAGCCACGAATTTGAAGGTTTCCGGACATCGCAGACTAAAGGTGAAATTTCCCAGTTATTTGATTTTGTAAAGAAATGTGGAGAAGCGGTAATGAATGAAGATGATATAACAGAAGTTTTTCATTGCGACAACGATACCCCAATCATCAATCAATTAACGGACGGCGAAATCTGTAGTATGGTTCTAGATCCAGAAAATACCGCTTCGGATAGGGAGGAAAGTGACAGTGAGGTTATTGAAAACGAAAAAATTTCGATTGACAAGTTAGTCGGTATTCTCGACACAGCAATTACAGGACTTAAAC